TTCAGAATGCAATCACTCGGTCGGGGATATTTTCAGAGCGACTTGAGCCAATGTGCAAGTTGGTCAATATCATACAGGTGTTCAGTAGGCACCATGATAGAGCAATTCACTCTAACACGGTTCCTTGGCCAATGCTCTGTAAGCTTTGGCCACAATCACTATAAAAGCATTTCATTTTGCAAACAATATAAGGAAATCAACAATCTCGAAAATCGACCAAACGACAAATGTACTGACTACCGAATGCATAGACGCTTGCAATGCAGGGCATCTCACTGGCTCGCGCAATCGCACTCACTTCATTTTGCTGAACCAATCTGCGGTGCAATCCAAACTGTACAAAGAGAAATCGCTTCCAATGTCGTCATCCCGGACAATGCCATCGGTACACAAAGGAAAAGCAATTTTGCAGAATTGCGGCTTCAATGGTCAGTGCTGCAGGGCCAGGCCAACACGCAGCCAATGGCCGAAAAGATTTGCCAATGGGCGCTCCACGCCCAATCGCCTGAGGGCACGACCAATACATGGCCGGTTGCCCAATGGAGCCGTCCGTGCTCCAATCACTCGCGGGTGACGATGGCCTCAATGCCGTGGGGCAATGTCAATCGCACCTGCGCCTGGGAATGCGGACGCAACTGTGGCGGGGCAATGGCTTGCTCGTTCCAATCGTTGCCAATGCCGGCACCTTCTCAACATCGGCCATGGCAATTGGAAACACCAAAATGGCGGTGGACGCCATTCGTTGCATTGGCATCAATGTGGCCTTGTCGCACCCAATGAAGGGCCTTGGCCAATGCCGTTGCCAATGTCACGCACGGATTGGCTTGCGACATAGGCAATGCCGAAATGTCCGTGCGCAATCCTTGCACCAGCGATGCAATCATCGACGTAGGCAGAACAAGGATCCAATAGAAAGGAACCAATGCCGTGCATTCCGAGGCTTGATCGCCTCGGGATGTCAATGTCACTTGTGTGGCAATCTGGCGTAGCCACTGGCTGCCATTAATATATCCGTAGACAGGCAACCAGACCAATGAAGAAACGTTTGCAATGTGGCCAATGCCAATGTCACGCACGCATTCCGTGCAATACTGAGCCAAGCGAGCGGCGAGGCCAATGCCCATGGGCATGAGAGGCAAATGGGCACGTGCAGAATGGGTTGAATGCAGCCAAACTGCATGACAATGTTGACTCGAACAACGCTCCCTGGCAGGTGCAATACACCTGACAGCATTGGATATGCAATCCTTCAAGACCGCACAATATTTCTTTCAAGTGAACCAACGCAATGTTGGGCGCTTGATGCTCAATTGTGCCAATCACACGCTCAATCAGCGTGATAACCACCGCAATCGAGCTGCGGATTGCAAATCCCCTATGAAAAGGGAAGCTGCAACGACCAATTGAATGACCGATTGCAATTTGTCCGTGGTGTGGCCCTGAATGATGTTCTCACCAATCCTCTGGAGGCGATCAATTGCTGCCATGGAATTCAACAACGCGGTGACGCAATCGGAGGCTCCGAAAGAATGCTGGAGCAATGCAATCGCAATCAGAAGCTCACTCAGAGATTCAATCACAAGTGCAAAACACTATGTACAACATTCAACACAATTCCGTCAGAATTTGGCCGAAAACAAAACCGTTTTAAACACCGGCTTTATGCAATAAGCTGGGCAAGTGAATTGCACCTTCTGCCGCGACAATACCAACAAACATGCAATGCTCATGGAGAAAATCATGCAATGCTAAATGTCATGAAAAATCGCATGCCAAAGCAATCGAAGAATACTCGAAAAGTCATGCCGCAAAAACTGAATTCAACTTACGAGTTCTAAGAAGACTACTGCTAGAAGATGAAGTCGTGACAGCGGATCTGTTGACTTCAGCTCCCCGCTTTGCTTCCGACTTTTAACACCGTGCATAAACGCAATCCCACAAGGTCTGCTTGGAGGCTGCTCCAAGACTCAAATCTTCTTTGGTAGCTTCATCTAAGAAGCTTCGACTCCGCAGTAAAACTGAAGGTAGAGCCAGAAACGCGAGACCGCCGGTCTTTGGACCTCCGACAGCCCATTTAACTTTTTTCAGTCCTGCACGAGATGTTACAAAAAGGTCTTGATGCGCACACTGCCAAGCTGTGGGTTTTAAATCAGGTCCACGGACCCTGCTATTGCACACGGAACGTCCAAACCCGAAATGGCGCCCAAAGTCCAATCGAAGGACTCTTTGAGAACCGAGATTGTTCGAAACTTGACCTCAAAGCTAGATGTTGTGGACTTCGCATTCCCGCGATGTTTCAGATTCCTAAAATCGGAAGTCATAATAAGGAACAGCTGCCATGCGGGTGTGCGACTCGAAGAGCAAATTTCATCACCGTGGCTTGAGAGTGGGCGAAGCACGTAAAAACCGAGATACGACACACCGCCAACACAGATGCTCGCAGAATCACTCAACTTGAAATTTCTTTTCAGAGTAAACTCCGTCAAAGCGAAGAAGCATTGCAACCTGTTGTCCACCATGTTCTGTTGTATTTCTCCAGTTTGAAGCTTATGTTGTTCTTGCAATGTATTTTGATGCTTTTGATCGCTTAGATAAATCTCGCAGAGAAAAATCGAGGCTCCGACGAAGTTCTTTCAGACTGCGAAAACCAGAAGAGTTGTGAAGTTGGTTTCGGTTCGGTGCCAGCACGAAGATGAAAGTTGCAAGTCTCGCCGCAGAGTTCCTTCGCAGAATCTTTTGGAGCGGCTTCTTCGAGGTGGTTCCATCAAAAAAAATTAACCTTGCCAACGCTAGCTCCGAGGGCTGCAACCCAGAGGAAAGTCCGAGACTCCAAATGCACACCCGAACCATTGAGCCTGCAGTTTTCGTTGCCGATGTCGCTCGCAAGGTCAATGTGCGTGATGATGCAGTTGCTTTTGATCGTCTTTAGTCCTAGATCCAAGATGCACCAACCTCATCTTGGAGTGCGCATCAGCTTGTTGGATGACTTCTTTGAGAATGAAGTTGTTCTGTTTGTCATAAATCACCGCGTTTGACGTGGTGTGTTGGGTTTCGCGGTTTTGCGCGGATAGAGAAAGCCTCCAGAGCAATCCGAACCTTGTTTTTCAACCTCATTTTGAAAGCATGAGCGGCCGAAAGACTCTTCGAAAACGTGTGCACCAGAACGTGCCTCTCCAGTTGCAGGAGTGTCTTCTTATTTGTAGGCAACTTCAGCTCAAATGTTGTTGCTGTCGTCCAGGAAACTGGAGCGTGCTTGACGGAGCAGTCTGAACAGCACTTTGAACGTGTCGGACCGGTCGACTCGACCAAAAACAAATTGCAGGACAGCAAAGGAAGTAGGGGAAGGCATCTTTAGCAGATCTGAACAGAGTTTCTCGAGCATGCAGATTTATGGTGTCGAGAGGTGCGGGTGACGGTTCCGATTTTGTGCACCATGCTAACTCTTAAACTACCTTATGCACGAGATGGGCTTACACGTGCCCCCCGCAAGTTTTTTTGATTTTTAGGATGGACCGATGTTGCAACATTCCTGCTATTCACAAAGCACGTAAAACCCGAGATACACTGCATTTCCAGTCAATTCAATTCGTTTCTGCCACCTAAACACACCACCGCAATAGATATGCTACTGGCAGAATCACTTGGGCTCCATGTGCAGTCCTGTGCATATTTTCTTTGTTTTTCTTCTAAAGT